GGGGAGGGGGAGGTTTAGTTTAATTTGACTTGATCTCAGAACGTGCTTAAGAAAGGTCCCTTGGTACAGTATTGCTAAGTTGAGGCTGGTTTTGCTGACCGGGCTTGCTAGTATCAAATACGAAGTAGTAAGTACAACTTGATAGTCGTCTCCTGAGGCGTGGTACAAATGGCAAAAATCTTATGATTGCATCGACCTCAGACGCGCCAGTTATTTAGTCTTCCGATATGATCAGACGTCAGGGCAATTTTGCCTCGGCTGAAAGGACTCTCCCCACGTATCTGCAGTTTGTTCTTTTAACTTCCTTGAGGCTCACCAGCCAGAAAGTCTGGCATCGTTTACAGCAAAAACCTCTTAATTTCAGAACCCGGACGACCGTTTCCCAAATCCTCGAAATAGTGCAAGAATAACGGTGCCAGCATATAGTAACGAGCCTTTGTGAAGTCCACCAACGGGCACTCTTCCAGAAACCCCAACCCCACGTCTAGACACAATGGTGGGAAGCACGCCTATTCAGGGAAGTCAATTGGTAGAGACTCAAGAACCAGAAATTGATCTCTTCAAAAAGCTCAATTCATATCCGTTCGGTACAGATGTTGAATTTGCAAAAGGGCTCTCTATCATCCTCGGCCATCCAGACATCCCGGCAACTGAAGCTGAGATCGATCGCGAAGACGACCTTGTACTACAAGCAAAATGCTTCTATTTTTCGCGGTATGTCCCTCTCAGTGCACGTTGGCAGGGTTATAGTTAGCATTGCTTTACTTATGTGGTGTGCTTATGCTAAAATCTGCTGAATATTAATGTAGCAAAGAGCAGCTATCGCCCCCACTCGATTTCGAAAAATACAAGACCTGGCTGGGTTCAACTCCGACAGCAGAGCCCTCATCTAACGCTGAAATCAACAATTATGATTCTCAAAGAGCAAGCGCATCAGAGACCGCAGTACCGCCTGGCTTAGTTCCTACGAATCAGCAATCGCCCTCGATCCAAGAGCCCGCTTACCCATCATCCTTCGCTCGTATTGTCGAACTCATAACGACTGGCCAGCAAATACCCGGCATTCAGCAAATACCCGACACAGTTTTGACGGGCCATGATACTCCAAGTGAGAAACCGAGGCGACGGAAACCTTGGGAAATAGACGATGAATTTACACGGGGGTAACAGTCATCGGTTGAGAACTGACGAGGACGGCCATGTCAACTATACTATCGACTAGGTTTGCATGGGCCGCCAGCAGTCAGGCCTGCTTGAAGGCTCTATTTTGACCCGGACTGCAATCAAGGTGTAATATTTTCGCCCCCAACATTGTGATGCTTCCTCGGATGAGAAGCTGCTAAGCTACAACAACGCCCGAAGCGTGTATTTCGAGAGATCCGAGATATAGACCTGTCATGGGGTGTTATCTTGAATAAGCCAAAGCCCCAGGTATTATCCCATACCTGCTAATATCACTGCAATGCACTGGGATACGACTATTTCCATCATATGATCGCTCACTAAACGATAAAAGGAGAAGACAGCTTGGATGTATAATAAACCAGAAACAAAGAAATAAAGTGCACAATCTCTCGAAAAGTTCAACCGTTTATCTGGAAACTCGTACAGGATCATGACAGCCTTCAGGCACAAGAAACAACATAAGAAATTCATCCTGAATTGGTTGTTTGCCACAAGAATGTCGATAACATTTGCTAATTCCTGCATTCATAGCTTTCGGTATGCGAACGGCAGTGTCACTGTGGCTGGTCGAGATTTCTAGAGGCTCATCAACGAAATGGTGGATAGTTTGGATTCCACTGGTTTCCGCGGCTGAATCGCCCTCCATGTTGGCCTGCTAGGTGATACCTATCATCGTTGAGATTGCTGAAACGGCCGATCTGCATGCCCGCCCCGGGTCCGGGACGGGTGGTATGTGATGGATTGCAGCAGAGCATTGCCACGCGTGAACCAAACTTGGAACCACGCAAAGATACCATATGCTTCCTACGGTGATTGTGTGAGCATCGCTATATTGGTAAAGGTAAAGAGAGAGGCAATACCGAATGTGGCTGGCGACCAATTCACGCTGATGAGGTGCAGCATTCATCAAAATCCATTGAATGAGGTAGTTCCCGTATTGATCTCCAGCAACTGTTGAGAACCAGACTCAGTCGGGAGCAAACTTGAACAGTCTGAAGAAACTCACTATCGATCAAGGGCATTCTGGGTCTATCAGTACGGCCAGTACACACTCGGGCAAGATAGCGATCCAGAAATTCGGAGCCCCCTATCTTGAGACATTTCTCAACGATCTTGGAGGCAAACTGGTCCATACTGTAATCGATTGACCAAAGGAGAACGTGTTCAATGGCTCGGCTCTTGTCTTGAGGAGCGCCATGCTCACAGATGTGTTGAATGCACCAATTTCCGAATTGACCATGGGCGAGCACATCGATCTTTGCCAATACTTCTTCAATAGCCGGACGCTACATAAGTGTTAGCGCAGTTCATCATCTGGTTTCGGAAATGGATATGGTTCGGTCGACACAAGACTGCTGAGATGTAAGACTCGCGCAGTAAGGACGAGAGGGAAACAAGGGTTCCGAGCGAGGGACTGGGAAAACTGTCACCTTCTCATCTTCTACACAGTTCTCAAAAATGTTCTGGACTACTAAACTGCCAGTTTCACCCAGAGCAACTTCATGCCACATTCCTCGCAAGGCTTCATTGACCTTCGCCATAATCTGAGGAGGCTCCCCACTCCAACGGAGCTCGAAAAGCTTCTGCCACACATGACACGCATACCGATGAATAACCGTTTCTGGAATTCTGCGAAGAAGCTCATGAACCATGACAGCCTTGTGTTCTTCTGGGACACAGTCAAAAGCCTTTTGAACCACATGACATCCGAATGGATCCATGCTGAGGCTCAGCGTGTTGCCCTTAATGGCGTTGGCTATGGCAATGACTTGCTCCGTAGTTCCATGCTCGAAGCAGCGTTGAACAAGAAAGTTACCAAAGCGGTTAACCATGAGCGGGTACGCCTGATGTGTGATGGCTTCTATTATATCATATTTCTGTTCAACTGTTCCAACTTTGAGCTTTTGCTGAAGAAAGATAGAGGCTTGCTGGTCATTGTTGCAGACAATTTTGTCCACTATATATTTCCAGTCGCAAGAGACATTTTTGTCGAGAAGCCGACGGTAGTTGAGTGGTTCAAGAGGAGAGATATATGTCTGCAAAGTGTTTGCGCCGACCTATCTGCTTTAGCAAAGGAGAAGGGATTGCATGAATGATTGTTGTTGGAAACTCACCGGTGATGTCGTCCAGGGCACCGCATTCGCGCCAGTGGAAGTAAATTCATTTGCCGTGGGCGAAAGCGAGGTCCCGACAGGCCTTTGGTAAGGAGGGATTGGGTATAAACCCACCTGCTGATACGTGCTGCACGGTCGAGTTGCAGGGGCTCGCGGAATCTGGTTGCTAGGAGATGCAGTGTTAAACGCTCCCCACGGAGAATTCTGGGCTGGAAAGCAAGGTCCCGCACGATTGACGTGGGGCACTGAGCGTCGCTGACCACTATTTGGGCTATGAAGATACCGAGCTGGATCCTCAGCGTATTGCGTAGTGGAATTACAGGTCCCGAAGGAGGGACCTGAAAGAACTCGGTGTGGTTGAAAAGAGCCATTTATGCTAAGACTTGCAGTAGAGTTGGTCCAGAACCTGTTGGCTTCCGGACCAAAGGTATTGCTTGAGAGAGACAGATGCTCACCGTAAGCCTTTTCGCCGGCCGGAGCATTCATGTGCATGCCAAATACCTGCTGAGATTGGGGCCACCAGAATCCTCGAGCCTTGTTGTACGCACCTGCGGATAGTGCTTCAGAGACATCTGATTGTGAATCATCATGGGTGTTCCATCCTTCATGCGGCTGCATGAAGGTTGAGTTGGATGCGTTGAAGGCACTTTGCAAATGGCTTATCGTCTGCTCGGTGACTTCACGCCCGTTGAAGTCAGCTTCAGAGGGTGTCCCAAGAGCTTGATCCAAAGTGTGTTTCATAACTCGTGTTTGTGCGAGTTCTTGCTCCTGGAGTGCAAGCTTAGAATTCGCAGCGAGCAGTTCCTTCTTGAGGCGGAGCACTTCAGACGTCTCGATATCCATTGGGGCAAAGCGAGCAGGATCTATAGGGCCAATGGCATGCGATATTTCCGATGTCGAAGTGAGCGGCATCACTGTACAATTCTTATCCCGGTCGACATGATCTTCATCCAAAGCACTGTTGCTCGTCAGGAGATGTTTCTGTTGCTCAAGCAAGGCTTGTTGCTCGGACAACTTCGTGAGTATCTCTCGATTCTCAACAGGCTTGAAAGCAGAGGGTTGATGCTGGGGAGAAAGTTTGGCCAATAGCTTTTCCATCTCGGAACTTCTGCTTGGGTAGGCAGTGGACGAATGCTCCAGCTTCTGCTTCTAGGTTTGTGAGACAATGGGTATTGGAGGACTTGGCAGAGAAGTGCTGACCTTATTGGATGAAACATCGACGACTTCACCAGTAGTAGGCTGGAAATTTCCGAGTTTGGAAGACACCAGAGGGTCTGGTGTGCTGTTAGGAGTGCTGGATTGCTTGCGTCCCTGTGAATATCATTCAAATGCGTTAGACCATAGTTGATTCAAAGCAAACCCGACATCTCAAAGCTAGTATTTTCTTCTACTTACCGATGTTTCACATCCAAACTGTATAAACTGTGCTTCAACTATCTTATTGCCTGAAAGGGCTTCTGTTCGCGATGATCGGCGATCCGTTCTAGGGGACCCAGTTGAGAGCAGAGACATCTTGCCGGGCTCAACTGCGAGTCGTACTTAAGTCTTCGCTGGTTGGCAATCTGCCGCAGCGAGTCTATGAGGCGAAGGCTTGAAGGAGACAAGAAGCAATTGCAGAAAGGTACTCAAAAGGCAAACACACCTGGCAATGTACGAGTATTCCAGATGTAATGGCAAGCTGGCAGATGAGCAAATTGTCGAGAAGATGGTGTTAAGCCGAGAAATATCTTTATTGTGGAAGAAAAGAGACGAAAGATGATAGATGGGAGTTTTTATGTGGGAGAAAGAATGAATTATTTCGACATTAGACCCTGGAAAGGTAAGGTACCTGATGAAAGATAGACTCAAAAGAGTGCCGGGATGAGGAAGGAACGCTGGAGGTAGAAGATAGCAGGTAAATGTGCAAAAGGATGGAGAACGAAGAATAGGCAGGAGGGAAATCAACAGAAGGGATCACTGTTGCAAGAAGTGTGCTGCAGTAGTGTACCTGAAGAAGGACCACAAGGTGACGACGCCACACTAAGAGCCAGTTTAAAGTCCCGACTAGAAAGAGAAGTTAAGCATTAGAAAGCCTAGTATGAATAGATCAATCAACTGATATGTCGAGCCGAACGTGATGCGGAACATTGTTGTTTTAAGCCACATTGTTTACTGGGAAATTGAGGAGGAAGACCTTCAGTGTTCGTGCATTACAGAGTACTGAAGATAGAGCTGATTCAATATCAGGTCTTACCTTTCCAGATTGACATATCCGTCCTCATAACCATACTTTAGTTGCCTCAATATCACCAGGCTCACGGGCTGGTCAAGCACCTTATTTGAAAATTTGCTCATCCAGACTGGCATCAACGCGAATATGAGACCCGGACGATATCTGCCAAGATCTATCGAGAAAACCAGCGGCGTATGCTCCAGCGTGTCCCTGCCAACGGCAATTATCACCAAGAACGAGAAAATCTGGTTGCCCAACACCTGTAAGGGTTGGTACAAGACGTGCAGCTTGCTCGAGACCAGGCAAGTCTACTCCCCATACAACAAGCTCGAGTCCCTCATTCTCCAGAGGGCGGAGGAAGAGGGCGCCCATGCCTCGCTCGAAGGGGAATTCATGTACCTTACACTCCCGGTTCATGCTGAACTGAAGGTTTGCCTCTGTGTCTGCCTGAGACCAACAACAACCCTGGAAAAGACTGAGATATTGACCCTGTATGCGAATTGGAAATGATATATGCTTTGATGGCGGTAGTTCGTTGCCCAGGGCAAGTGTGATAACATTCCCGGTATCAACAACTTGGTCCTGATTGCCTTCGGAGTTAAATACGGAGCCGCATCGCCGTGATAGTTGGGAATCCGCAGCGAAATATTGTAGTAGGTTACGGCTGATTTGCACCGCTATCTGCTCAACCCCAGCTGAGCATATGTTGATGTTGAAAGTGCCCCTGGTGCGCAGGATGGCGTCCATTGCTCCGAGCTGACGACCATACCGCTCATTCAATTGGCGCCAATCCGCTCTCTCCGAGACATTCCACCTTCCCCGAGAATCTTTCAGAAACCACATGCGTTCAGGCTGGATGTCACCCACTTCAAAGCGGTCTTTGCCATCCAGAACTAGTGCAGAGGGTGTTGTGAAACTCGAGACCCTTGACGAAAGGTGGAAGCGATGTATATTGGTCGTATTAAGGTACCAGATTCCCCTATGCGCATCTCTAGTGACCTGCACTACTCCGTTCCTGTCAGGAGAACGCAATTGATCGACATAGATCCCACCTTTCGCAATATTTGCCGAGGACGGAACAGTGATGGTGAACGTCAAAGGAAGCCTGGGTTGACGAGGAAAGGTGGCAGTTTCATTGTAGAATTTCAGAAGGGATGGGGTGGTCAATACACCATCGAACCAATGATTCTGACCCTGCAATTCATCATACTGTGATGGCCACTGGGTCTGTCCAAGAAATTCATGCATTAAGCGCGAATGAAAAGCGGGGACATTGTCATCGATTGAGCCATGCTGTTGCAATATCGGGATACCCGCAACGTTGCTTAGCAGCAACTCATGTTTGAAACTTGACCGTGACCTCGAGAGCACGAAGGAGAGCAGAGGCTCGGAATCCCGCCACATGTTGTAAGGTACGTAATCTACGATATTAGCATTTTCAACCATTGAAATCGATATTCTCGACATACTCTCAATGGATGAGTAGCCCGACACTGGTGCTGCGGCGATTACTTTGTCAGGATAATGGGTGGCCAAAAACCACGCCCCTTGCCCTACAAGAGTTCAGCAAGCTGAGAAATTGATTATTTGCTTACAAACCCTACCTCCATTTGAATGTCCGATGACGATCCATTCTTCCTGTGATACGCTCAACATATCCAAGCCAGTACTGTCCGTCCAATGCGGAATCGCGCTCACTGCAGCTTCGATGTCTCCAGCACCCCAAGTATCTATAGCCAGTCAGGTAGCTTCTTCCTCAGCAATTTTGCAATTCTTTCATGCGAGATAAGACGTGGAAAGAGGAAAGTGTCTATAATGATAGGGAGAAGGGAAGGCATAGGTTGGAAGGAAGCAGATCCATGCAATGTGGAATATGGTGTTCTAGGACGAGATAGTGCGGTCAAGGTAAGGACACGACGAACTCACGCCAATCGTCACCACTCCAAGGAGTAACCCCACTGGGACATAATATCCACGCGCAAGTACCATATGCGGCATCCAACATCTCACGAACTTGTACACTGTCTGCCTTGACGCCTGCACCATGCAAGGCAACAATGACAGGCAAGGTGCTACCTCCTTCGGCAATAGCAGGTGCACATCTCACTGGGGGAGGGCGTAGGATGGCATAAGAGACTATGCCTGCATAATAATATGTAAGCTTCTGGGCCTGGGATACTGATTTTTCAGTTAGTCTCAAATGGAGTGGGTAAGTTTGGAAGATCCCATCATTCCCGCGGTGTATTTTAAAGAGTATTTCAGCGGAGAACTCCTTTTGAGGCGAATCACCGAGGTAGATCCGGAACACGAGAGGTCGTGTTTGATATCCAAGCAAGTCTAATGACTCATTCATCACCAGACTATGCTGGCGGCCCTAAGTACGTGTCACTCTTCTTTCGTGTCTTCCAAAGAGCTAGTGAATTGACACCAACACCAATTGAGCTGATGGAAAGAACCTCAATCCGATCCGCGATGTTATTTTGTAGATTGATGGATGCCCAAGGACTGCCGAGCTTGCCACGGCACATATCGGGCAACAGCAGACTCTCTTTATCGACACTAAGAGGTTCGTTACGGATTTCCGCGACAAGCGACACCATGATCGTGGGCTCTCCTATCGCGCCCGAAGCTCGAACATCGCGAATAAGCCGCAATTCAACCACATGGTCACCTGGACTTAAATCAAGAATGACGGGTGCTGTGCCATAATCATAGAAATCCCCTCCGAAATGCCGCTTGCCATCAATCACGATCTCAAGGAGCCTGCTTGTGAACATTGCCACGGACTGAGGGGCCCAATGGCCAATATTCAATGATCCGCGCGCCCAGGCCTGATATTGTAGAGCAGACCATCCATAGACAGCTTGCGTGAACTTCCAGTCTATTTCTGGAAAATTCACATGGAGATCCGTTCTAGCTTTCTCTGGAGCAAAGTTGTGTGTGAGAGCTCGGGCAGTTTTCCATTTGACGCTACCATTGACTGCTAGCGCGCTGTTGAAGCTTGCATTTGCATCATAAGAAAGGTTATGAAATCCACCTTGAGATTCCAAGGGATCGGCGCCCCAGACAGCCTCTGAGAGATTGTAGTCAAATCAGCTCGCAACTTTCTATTTTCTCTGGGGATGGCTCTAAGGTAAGAGCGCTTAAAAGCGGCACGAACCTCTGGTACCACATTGGAAAGGGCCAAGAAGCTGCCATTCATCCGAGAATGAGATTGTTGCGAGATTTTGCGCAAGTAGGAGCTGAGATGACCCATTCTCTATGAGATGACCGCTGCATACTGTGGTTCCAGAATAAAGACAGATTGCAAAAAGACTGGCCAGACAACTTCGACGTGTCATCACGGGATGATATTCATAAATACTAGCAGTTTCGACACTAAGGTCTTTCTTGATGAAGACTATTCAGGTAGGCTTGTCGAGTTGCTATCATATAGGCCTTAGGTTGTGATGTTTGAACATGATGTTGTTTTTGAGTATCAAAGTAACATGCAGCCACCGGCTTCAACTGTAGCTAGAAAAAAAACCCAACCACGTGATATTACTGACAGGCTGGAGGGACAGGGTACCCAGATATACTAGGAAACAGACAAATCTGGAGTTGATTTGCCTAATGTATAGATTCCATTCAGGCACACAACTGACCGAGATATTAAGGTAATACTATCGTGCATTAAGATAGGTGTCCTTGCTGGTTCGCCTTTCTCTGTCTAGTGACTATTATCTATTACAGCGTTCCTTATGTACGACCGGACATCTAATGTAATAAATGTTGTTGGCACGATCTCAAGTGATAGATATATGAGATGAGCAATATGACCGGAAGACGAATATGTATGTCACTAACTGGTGGTCAATATTAATAGGCGTTATGAAATTCTACTCAGAGCACCAAAAATAATTGTACTCTGTAATTCTCTGTAGTACCTAGTAGCCAGTGACAGTTTCTTGGCATGTGGTCTGTTGCGTGGCCCTGATCCTCGATGTTCATTCGCTATCTACCTTTACCGAATTCGTGGGAATTCGTCACCCCAGCGGGAAGACCGCAAACGACTCATTAATGAGGTATCTACCTAGATAAGGTAGCCTCTTCTGGGCGCTGAGTAGAGCCTTTTGAACCACGCATCTTCTTGCCTTGATTTCATGATCTGGCCCTGCTGATAAATGACTTGGAGAAGGGAAATCTCTTTTAGATTTAATCAACATATATTCAGGAGCTGCAATCTGTTCCTTGACCCCATTAACAATCGTCACAAGGTATCGTATCTCTGCCGCAATGGTCCTTTTTTTGTTCCAGAAGTACATATTAACTGAGCGATGTCCTACTACGCAGGGCTTAAGATACCTACCCAAGTAAACGGAGGTCTGAATGTGAAACATGACTACGACCACGGTGACCGGCATCGAAAGGCGCCCATCCATACGACAGCCTGAAATTCAAACGCCAGTGAAAGCACCCAATTCTCAGTCAGTGACGAGCCCGATAGATCAATTTCCACCATTTGACGAGGGCCTCTACCAAAAGACAACAGATTCGGGAGAGCTCAAGTCGAATCTCACATCAAAAAATGAGCCGAGTGATCATTGGCAGCCGCGAAAGGCAGGCTATCTGTCTCGAGACTATACCAAAGGACCAATCCGACCTCCGAAACACAGATCGAGGAAAAGCATTAGCGAGGCAATTACCACGATTAGAACACGCAATGCCAGCGTCAGTGCCAATGCTCAGGAATTGGCTCAAGCGCTGCGAGCGCCGGTATCTTATCGATTAATGGTGAGACCATTCGCTCTCGCTCTTCTTCTATGCTGCAACTAACTTTTGTCGAGATACTTTGCCTTATATGGTATATGACCTCTGCTACCACGAACACATCTTCCAAATCCATTTTGAATGCTCTTCCCAAACCGATTACTCTCACAATCGTACAGTTTGCCTTTGTCTCTATATGGTGTCTATTATTGGCATATCTGTCGGCGATCTTTCCCTGGCTTAAAAACAATGTCCCGGCTCTCAGGAACGGCATACGCTACCCGTCCCGCGATGTTATTGTAACAGCATTGCCCTTGGCAATTTTTCAATTGGCTGGGCATATACTTAGCTCAATGGCCACTTCTCAAATACCAGTATCACTGGTTCACACCATCAAGGGCCTCTCGCCCCTTTTTACAGTTTTAGCATATCGGGTGTTCTTTGGCATTCGATATGCCAAAGCGACTTACCTATCTCTTGTTCCATTGACACTAGGCGTCATGCTCGCCTGTTCTACTGGGTTTTCGACAAATTTCTTTGGCATCATTTGCGCATTACTGGCGGCACTAGTTTTCGTCTCTCAGAATATTTTTTCTAAGAAGCTCTTTAATGAAGCTTCCCGCGCAGAGTCGGAAACGCAGTCAAGCGGTCGAAAGAAGTTGGACAAACTGAATCTCCTCTGTTATTGCTCGGGCCTCGCCTTCGTCCTCACGTTGCCAATTTGGTTTATCAGCGAAGGTTATCGATTGATCTCAGATCTTATGCAAGATGGTGCCATCTCTTTATCGGGGAAAGATAACTCTTTGGATCACGGTGCGCTCTTCATGGAATTTGTTTTCAACGGAGTTTCACACTTTGCGCAAAATATCCTGGCATTTGTTTTGCTATCTATGATATCCCCAGTGTCCTATTCTGTTGCTTCTCTGGTCAAGAGAGTCTTCGTCATCGTCGTCGCGATCGTATGGTTTGGCAGCTCCACAACTCGTTTACAAGCTTTCGGTATCGCACTCACCTTCGTTGGGCTGTATCTCTATGATCGCAATAGTCATGATGACGTGGCAGACCAAAGAGCAAATGCCGATCATTTTCGCACCAGAGAAGCCATTCTTCCCTTGAGTGTTCAAACAAAGAGAACATGGGATTCGAATGGCTACGCCTTCCCGCCTCCAAGAACTGGTGAAACTCACTTTATGGACAGCTCTGCTGCTTTGGCAGCAAATTTGAAAAAAGAAGACGACGCATTCGATCATGTTCGTCCAAGGGGAAGCAGCACGTCCAGGACATGGCTACCGCCTGGTACAAAACAAGAGTCAACTTGGCAGTCAGGCGACTCTTAGTAGCGTGCGGAATGTACAATATAATCATGGATATGTTTTTACTAGAACATCTTTTTTTTTTCATCAATGTGCTGTCTTTGATTACACATAATTAAACTTGAGGGCCTGAATTCTCTGGGCCGCAAGAAGTTCGCTCGTATTCACATCAAATAAACTGGGCGACTTTAACCTATTCTTGCTCAAAATGAGACAAGGTTTCTAAACTAGATACCGCTCAATTTTGCACTGATTATTGATAAGAGACGCGGAAGAGGAAATTGAAACTGTGGTAGCCGATAAGTTGTAAGATGTATCGGTTAATGGTTTGGTCAAAAATAGGTATGTCGCAACTGTCGGTAAGGAACTATGCCATCATGAGGCAATGCCACCATTATGGCGGCGACAACCCTAAGCAGCTCCAGCTCAGTGCCTCTGGTCTTGGGTCATGTAGCAGAGGAGAGAGGTATTGACGAAGCCCTGCCTCCTACAATAAATCACGCCCGTGAATGAGTTTTTGTTGATTAAGAGGAAGTAAGAAAAAAGCTCGAGGGGAATTCTTTTAAAAGGATGAGGTTCGGAATAATGAAGGCTCCGTGTATCCGAACCAATCCGCAGGCGGCAATTTGCGAGTAATGTTCAAACCAGCGTCTGCCAGATTCCGAAGGGAGCACGCCAAAAGTGCTCCTAACAAGAACAACCTCTACCAACGCTTCGCTTCTGCCATCCTTCTTTCCTTCTCCATTATTCCCAGGTTCATTTATTTTTTTCTCCTCAAGACATTCGATTCTAGTCACACTATGCGGCCGCAGTTGTTTCGTGCGGCCGCCCGGTCACTCCGGGTCCCTAAATTCAACAAGCACAGGACCTTCGCGACGACAACCCCTCGCTCTGCTGAGGTGGAACTCACAATCGGTGAGAAGAACTAAGTAGTCCACACTAACGAGTATCTTTGCGCTAACATTCGTGAATCAGATGGCAAAAAGGTCTCAGTGGAAGGTCGATTGAATCTCCTATGGCCCGATGCTAGTATCTCTGCTGACACCGAGCTACAGCTGGCTCGGCCCTTATTCAGGCTTGTGAAAAGGCAGGCGTGACAATTCCGAGGTATGAATGTTTGAGCAATTACCAATTGGTCAATGTGACTGACAAATGGGCGACAGATACTGCTATCATGAGTATGGCTTCCTCGCGCGTTATATTCAATAGCCTTGCTAACATAACAAATAGAAAACTAATGATTGCGGGAAATTGTATGTCTCATCATCAAAGGCCCATTTCAATCTGATTAAGTTAACTCTTAAGTTCCCAGGTCGTATGTGTCTTGTTGAAGTTGAACGTGCTCCCAAACCAGTGGCATCCTGTGCTTGGCCTGTGCAGCCCGGAATGAATGTCAAAACAAACTCTCCGCTCGTGCATAAAGCCAGGGAGGGTGTTATGGAATTTCTGCTAGCTAATCATCCTCTTGATTGCCCTGTTTGCGACCAGGGAGGTGAATGTGATCTTCAGGACCAGTCAATGCGCTATGGAGCTGACCGTGGTCGGTTCCATGAGGTTGGTGGCAAGCGTGCCGTTGAAGATAAGAATATCGGACCTCTGGTCAAGACGTCCATGAACCGATGTATACACTGCACTCGTTGCGTTCGGTTCATGAATGATGTAGCTGGTGCTCCAGACCTCGGAACTACCGGTAGGGGTAACGATATGCAGATTGGGACTTACCTGGAGAAGAACCTCGACTCCGAGCTCTCCGGAAATATAATTGACCTTTGCCCTGTTGGTGCTCTAACTTCGAAACCCTATGCTTTCCGTGCTCGTCCATGGGAACTGAAGCACACCGAGTCTATTGATGTCCACGATGCTATGGGCTCCAATGTCCGGATAGATACCAGGGGAATGGAAGTCATGCGGGTGCTTCCGAGACTGAATGACGACATCAATGAAGAATGGATCGACGATAAATCTCGGTTTGCATGTGACGGTCTGAAGACCCAGAGACTAACAACGCCATTGATTCGGAGAGAGGGAAAATTCGTTCCTGCAACTTGGGAGCAAGCTTTGACCGAGATATCTAGCGCTCAACAGAAACTGCAGCTGAAGGAGAATGAATTCAAGGCTGTCGCAGGACATCTAGTTGATGCCGAGTCGCTTGTGGCGATGAAAGACTTGGCTAACAAGCTTGGATCTGATAACCTTGCTCTGGACCAGCCGAGAGGCGACTCTCCCATTGCCCATGGAATTGATATACGCTCAAATTACCTCTTCAATTCCAAAATCTACGGAATTGAGGAAGCCGATGTCATCCTTCTGGTCGCTACGAATCCTCGCCATGAAGCAGCGGTTCTCAATGCGCGCATACGCAAGCAATATCTTCGCTCAGATCTTCAAATCGGGTTGGTTGGAGAGGAGTTTGAAAGCACTTTTGACTACGAACACCTTGGCTCAGACACCTCTTCGTTGAAGGCCGCTTTGTCTGGGAAATTTGGGGAGAAACTTGCTTCTGCTAAGCGGCCCATGATCATTGTCGGAAGCGCCGCGGCCGAACATCAGGATGCGAAAGCAGTCTTTGAAACCGTTGGCAGCTTCGTTGAAAAACATCGAAACAACTTCAACACTTCTGAGTGGCAAGGCTACAACGTCCTTCAACGCGCCGCATCCCGTGCCGCTGCCTATGAAGTCGGTTTCACTACACCATCTTCGGAAGTAGCGCAGACCAAGCCAAAAATGATCTGGCTGTTAGGCGCGGATGAAGTTAGTCAAAGCGAAATTCCGAGCGATGCGTTTGTCATCTATCAGGGCCACCACGGTGATCGTGGTGCTCAATTGGCCGACGTCGTTCTCCCCGGTGCAGCATATACTGAGAAGTCGGGCACATATATTAACACTGAAGGACGTGTTCAAGTCACTCGGGCGGCCACCTCCTTGCCTGGTGCCGCACGTGACGACTGGAAGATTATCCGTGCTGCCAGTGAATTCCTCAACACACCGCTTCCCTACGACGACATTGAGGCGCTCCGCGATCGCATGGAAGAGATCAGTCCTGTAATGCGCCGGTACGATGTCGTTGAGCCGACTTCCCTGAGCTCACTGAGCAGAGTACAACTGGTTGATCAGAACAAGGGCATTCAGCCAACTGGTACACCTTTCAGGAAGGTCATCGAGGACTTCTATTTTACTAATTCCATTGCTCGGAGGTCAGTTGATTTCTCAGATCTGCTTTTTGTCCTCCACTAATCAAGAATCTAGTTCCCCGACCATGGCCCGCTGTTCAGCAGCCAAGGCCACTGGAAATCCAGAGACGAACTTTATGGCTGCTGGTGAAATGTCTCCCCAGGCTCTGTATGGCTAGGACGCGCAGGCTTGTCTTGCGCCCACTTCGGTCTGTTCTCCTTTGTCTGTTGGACCAGGCGTTGTCATTGTACCACCTAAACATTGTTTTACCGTCTTTTTTGTTTCCCCATAGTTCATTGATCATTTTCCATTACATTGGCAGTGTACCTCCGAATCGTTGCCGTCATTCTTAAAACTGATCTGGGGAGGTGAATATGTACATATGATGTGGAGAAAATGACCGGCTTCTTGAGTTAAAAAAGGCTATTCAATGTGGACACTTCCATCAGTGATATGATCAATTCTTCCTAACTCAGAAGGAGGGTGTAGAATTGGACGTTGCAGCTCATCTGAATGAGCTCCTAGATTGTGACCTGGTTTCATTCATGATAGTCGAAGTGATATACTAGTCACACGTACATTTTTTGAACTTGCCCCAGAGAGTGAAAGACGCTACATGCGTCGGTAATTCGGGTTCTAGGAACTTCCGATCCGCAGCGCTCGCCGCAAGTTACAGCTCATCGTCGTCGGTTTCCCCAGCCGTTTCTTCGGCATCCTCTCCTGCGGCGACGGATTCATTTGGTCTTGTAGCCAAATGTCTATTCACCTGTAGCTTCTTGACGAACGGAAGCTCTCTTCGGGGTGGTGGGACGGCTGAATTTGTCAATATAGTGCTGTCTTGAGGTGTTTCGCTTGATGCCTGTTTGCTGTCTTCTCGCTCATTTTCTATGGACGGCGATGAAAGTGCTTCGCCCGTATTGGTGTTTTCGTCATCTTCAAGGGGCTGAGGCGTTGAAGTTTGTTCGTCTTCTGTTTCCTGATCGTCTGAGCGGCCATCGTTTTGCACATCGTGATCGACTTCCATCTTCTCAAATCCGTCCTCACTTTCGGATTCATTGTCTAACATCTCTCGAGCGGATCGTTTTGTCTTCCACTTGGTTGGGCTAGAGACGGGATGTCTGCCTGGGATTGCTGACTGAATCTCTGATGCTTTATTGGATGCCACGAGTCAATGATGCCATGTTTTCAATACGATTGTCTCAACGTAATCATACCTTTTTCTGAGTCTACCTTTGCAGAGGCCAAGAGGCGTTGTTGATTGCGAATCTTGAGCTTCTTCTCATTCAACAGTTGCACAAAATTAGCCATCAATAACTCATCGTGCTCGGTCTTGGCACTCATAAATTCTTCCAACTGCTTGTTGAGTCGTTGGATTGTATCTTCGGCAGCGCGGTAACGATCTGTTAAAGTGGAAAGGCGTTCCTCAAGAGCATCGGCCCTTGCAACAGCCACACCCGACCAATCGAAAAGTTGAATTGCCTGTTCATCATCCTGTCTTAGGGTCACAGAACCCAGCCTTTGCTGTCTGAAATTAGATTGATTCAGGACATTTTTGCTCATGACGGGAGCCTACTGTGATGGATTGGACTCGTTTTCGTATCGTGATAACTAGCTCCTTACTGAGGTTGCCAGATTCGATGATACTCGCTGAGGATTCAATTCCAGAAAGCATTTCGGACGTTAGGATAGGCTCTTTAAGCTGACCAAAAACATATGACACAATTTGGACCCATTCGTCGTCACTACCTCGGTAGTTCTTCGCGCAGAGAGTTTTCAGGCGGTTTTGTCGCACTGTATCACTTGCCTTAGACTGTGTTCAAAACGGAAAGGAAATCATGGTATGACGCATTGACAAATTACGCAGAGAATGATCCAAGCAGAACATACCAGTGCCAGTATAGGGGTTCTCCCCTTCCGTCGCAGCAATGTCCAGATCCAGGGCATTAGAGCTGGTGGGGGAGACCTGGAGGAGCACGTAACCTTGGGTATCATCAGTCCTGGAAATCCGGAGAATCCTCTGAGTCAGGTCGAGTTTGCTGGAGGGCATAATGATAGAGTGTATGACAAGTGTTGTGCGCTGTGGTTGATGGCCGATATGTGCAAACCAGTTCTGCGTTCAGATGTCGGAAAACCTCTTATGGCTCAAAAAAGTTTAAGACGTTTCATCAAGTAGAGAGCCATTATTGCTGCCTATCCATTCTTGTTCCACGAGAACGGCAAGGTATCTAGGCATCAACGTCTCCCAAGGTTGGGGAAATGTACCCGTTCCGCGAAGAGCCTCGTGTTCGTGGAAAATCGAATATGGCCATGGATGATAGAAGGCCAGGATCCCTGCCACAAAGTTGTCTGGTCGAAATTTTCAAGAGATAGGCTTGCATACTCAAGAAAAACCTTCTTGCAATAGTATATGTATCCAAGTTAGACCAAGCTTGAATGGTCTCAGGCACTAGAAACACTCCTGAAGCGTAAATTCGACTCCTCCATAAGGCTGAGAGCAGTTATACGCTGATACTTGTACATAATTGCTAGTCAAATCTTGTTATAATTTGACTACTCAAATTTCAACTCTTCACACTTTACTCCCTATTACTCGGACTATTCCGGAGAACGACATCGCCATTTAGGCTGGACATTACCTGTACTCTGCGTAAACGTACAGCCTCCCAGCTTTCGCACCTAGGTAGTTGAGGCCTGAGAGATCATACACGCCGCCAGTATGATAGAAGTTAGTATGATTCTTGAACAAATGGAGAGTTTGATGAGCACACATCTTTGCTTGGGTAGCCAGTAGCCAAGACAACTTGATGGGAAGGGAGAGAGGTCCTCCCAAGGTAAAGTATACTACGCAACTATGGGTTTTCCTCCCTCTTATCCTTAACTTTCTCACGACGAATGCTTTATTTCCAAATCGTCTCTGCCGAGTAAGTGACCAGACCATTATTTGTACTTAGAAACATAAGTTGAGGGAGGGGGCAAAGAGAGAGGCCGAGAGGGAGACTAATTGTCCCACTTCAAGCGCAGTCACATACTCCAAGAACTTCAATCATCTCCTCCTCCTCCTCATTATTCTGCCTCCTTGTCTTCCCCTAAAAAAGCACGTTCCCTCCACCCTCCACGAGGAATCCTTCCCGCCACCCACCTTAGTGACCTTACCATCTGGGAGCATCGAAAGTTTTGCAATATTATTGTCACTTGAATTGAACCGTACTCCGCCGCAACCTTCGTGCCTCCGGACCCTCGACCCATTTTATTTACCAGCAGACGGCAGGCCTGGATCTCCAGTTTATTCTTGGTGTCTTTTGAGCATTGAATTGCATTGATCTCAATAATGTGCTCAATGGTTTCCTAAGTGTAATTCCAATCTGCAGTGTAACACTCACCTGAAAGCTCCGCAGTACTGCTATCAGTTTCAAGGTAGCCTTTGACGCTCAGCGTTGGGAATACTGCACTTCCACCAAGGGACAACGGGATGATGCTTCAGTTGGCTTTCGACTCTGTGTTAGCGAGGGAGATTTCTGAGCCTGCTCCCTGGAATCGTCAGTCCTAAGTTGGTCCCACTTGAATTTACATGATTATATCTTCCGTCACGACGGGTGCTTCGACAAACTGTCCGTAACATGGAGTCATCGACCTGTCAGGTCCGACATGGCGACGAAGAGACAATCGAGTGTTGGGACGACGATGGCGATCTACACTGTTACGAAGACATCCATATCCGTACGGCGTCAACTGCTACATCGGTAACGAATTTGTCCACTCGTCGATCGGGCCATCGAGATTCTATATCATCCCGTCGGTCTGCTCGCTCTGATCTGGACTCGAACGCAGCAGAGGATGAGGATTTGCAGGTCCAACTTCCTGATGACGACGAAGTTTTGAGCGAAGAAGCCATTGCATCTGCCAAGAATGCAGGGATTCCGTTGCCAGTCAACGTTCCCAAGTCTGCTCTCATTGGGGGAACGATCAAGCGACTTGGGCGCAGAAACCCGAGAAAGAACTTTATCGACGATTGGTCTGACGACGTTGAACTCCCAGGTCCTGATACTGTGCTCGAGCTTAAACAGTTTAAGGACACAGTCTTCCCTGAATCGCTCAGGCAGCTCAGTTCAACCACAATCAGTCCGGTAAAAAGTGTTCCTTCTCCTCTATGGGAAGATGATCTTTCGACGCGCTTGCAGTCAGCCTTGACAAATCTAAGTCAATTTGTGGATGATAGCAATCACAGCTTGGCGGATATTGACAATGTTCCTACTATCAAAGTTGCGAAGTCTCGATCACCAAAATCGACCAGAATAGCTGCCGAGCACAGCATGGCAAGGATTAATACCCCGGTCGAAAATGTTGAGGACGACTTTGAACTACCAGCAGATGATTTTCCTCTTCATCTATCTCTTCGCAAAGACGGTACGGAGGCCACTAGCCCTGCTCCAGATGAATTCGACCTTGATTGGTCCGAAGGCAGTATAGGGATTCGCTTCGGTGGCACAAAGAGAGACCACCGTTCAATTCCAAGCTCTGCAGTCTCGGTTGTTAGTCCTAGTGCCTCCAGTTGCCTGACAGGCGAGAGCGAGGACGATGGGCTTGATGGTCTTGTAATTCCCGAGGGCCCTCTGGACCTGGAATCGATGTTGAAGAAGCGCCAGGATGCCAGCTCTACTGATAAACCGCGTTACTCGTCATTAGGCCAGGCCGAATATGAGCTAACTAGGTCGGATGATTTTTTCACGGGTCTTGAAATTGAAAGCGGCGATGCTTTCGATTTAAAGAAACTTTCCCTCAATCCAAACGTCAAATACAAGGTTGAACGTCCCAACAGTCCGGCCCGCCGTTCTACAACTTCCATCACTTTCACCAATACCCCAATTTCTCCCAAATCTCGGATTCCGCGCCTCTCGGGTCATGATCGTCACTCCACGCATCTCGAGACTGTTTCAGAAAGTGGAGCTCCTCTGTCAAAGTTTCCCGGCTCACGGTCTTGGGCGAGGGGCCATGTAACCCATGCCTCTGTCTCTAGCTTGCCTTCTAGGCCAATATCGACGTCTCCAACGCCTTCGACTCCCGACCGGCGGTCTGTGACGACTCGATCTCCCAAGGCCCCGTTAAGCACCGACCGTGCCGCTAGCGGCACACACCTCAGGCACAAACGATCCATGCCGACTATGCGAGGTGTACGGCAATCTGCGTCGGTATCATATTCACAGGGTTCTCTTTCTCGCCGAGATGAATCAACACGCCCTTCCATTTCCTACGTTGGAGCAAGGACACCAGTTGAGCGCACAGGAAGTGACACAAAATATTCGAGCCGCAAGGCCCAAACGCCATTTATTCCAGCTGGGGCTTCCGAAACTCAATCTCATCACGTTAACGTCAAAGGTCCTCGACACTTTCGTCGGACAAACTCCGATAGTTCCGGCGAAATCCTTAGCTCACGAGTACCTGTACCTCGGTATTCTCGATCAAGTCGACATTCAATTCCGAACAACATTACGGATGTAAGCCAATGTAAAAATTTGATCACAGCTGCGAAGCAGACTATCACTAGACCCACGCGGAGGCGTAACTTCGGTGATGGGACTGAGCTGGAATCATTTGACGATTTACCTACCTCCTCCTTTGCAGAGAGCAAGTTCATCAAGCACCCTATTGGACGCGGTGTCCCGAGGTCCCTCCGTGGCAGACTCGGTCACAATCAGACTCATCCCGCACGAACAGACATTCTGAAACAACCGTCGACTCCATGTTCTGTCCCTACACCATGTGACCTCACTCCCCGGTTTGCACAGGATACAAACGCCTCAAGAAATGCAAGAGAACAACGTATCGCTTCGATGGCCTCCAATGTGAAAAGTCGTGAGAGCTATCCACTTGGCCCTCTCAGCTCGAACTGGAGAGGTCAAAACATCCCACGTGTCCCTTCGAACTCGGCGGCTCTTAGCAGAAAAAACAAGGGCGTTACAACGTCCGGTGGTAAGCCCTTCCTGATTAAGTCAATAGGAAAGGGCTCCCAGGAACCGAGGTGTACGTGTTGTCCTCCTGCATTTTAATTATTTTAGAGTTGACATTTTCTAGACTTGAACGGTATGCATTACAACCCCGACTCTTTCCAATGGGAGGGAAATGAGACTTCTGTTATTGAGTTCGAGTCTCTAAGATCGCCAAAGTCCCCCAAGCCGGCACCTGCGTTAATCACCAATGTGAGTGCGATGCAGAATGTGCAGGTCGTTGGGGGGATGATTTTCGATCCACGACGCATGTGCTGGCTGAAGCTGGCACCATCTCAGCCCGGCGCACAGGGAATGGTGGCAGTACAAGTTGAAGACGATGTCTTCGCCGGACTTGATGACCTCGAGGAAAAAGGTCAAAGAAAACCTCTTGGTGGCCCAGGTTCTGGTATTTACGATGTTTTCGACCGTACTGTGAGTGGCGACGAGCGGAGTTGCGGCGACTCATCGGACGAGTGGCCCATGACAGAGGAGTTTGATGTTGGCCCAGAATTCGTTAAACGCCAGCGTGTCGAGGAAGAGAAGTGGAGGCGCAAAGTCGAAAAATGGGTCCAATCTGAACGTAATAGACATGGGAACAGTTGGAGGTGGGCTATCCGAGATATAGTGGGTTTGAATGGCTCTCATCAAGCTCAAGAAGTCCGCCACATGTGAACCTATTCAACGTTCTTCATCTCACGGAGGGTTACCTATCAATTGGGAAATGCTGCGATACCCAGGAAAGCATCCCTAGTGGTGGTCTGTCCTGATTGTGGCTGTTTCGTTGATTGAATGGAGCGTCGAGGTATTGATGATTGCAAAACTCTCTGGCTCGGCCGCTATGAACTTCTTGCATGAGCTTATGATATAATTCTCGTTGACCCTGATGAACTGGCCAGCGAGAGATGACTTTGATTTTTTCTTGTTTCTCTCGCTTGTTTCTGCTGAAATGCGACTTTGCTTCGACAGCGATTGTGCTGTGACTTCGTGTAATTATAATTTGTGACAATATATCCCATATCCAAATCTGTAGCCAATAACACGGTTTTTCTTTATGACTCGATCCGGTATCAACATGTTTTTGCATACGCATCATGTCTTTAGTGTGGAGTTAGATATGCTGGGGTTAACCTTGGCCTAATTATCTCAAGTTCCTTTTACCGGCTCAAGTGAGGTGGTTCAAAATAGTGTCGAAATTGAACCATTCGCTCTAGCTGAGTTCTTACTGCTATTTAGGTTCATGGGTTGAGTTGTTGTCCGAGAGGTGATATTACTGGGTAAAGCATTGGTTGGAGAGTGCTGAGAGCCTTGTCGTAGCAATGCTGCATACCTAAGGTACCTAGGTAGTCTATCTTCTCGGTATCTCAAACGTTCCCGGAGGGATTTTCCGACCAAGGGAATCCATAGTATTAGCAGAGCTCTAGGGCCATAAGGAGATTAACACTGACTGTGAGTAGTAACTTGTAGGGAATAGTTTATTAGGGCCCTGGGCATCTTCTCTTGTGTGGAGAATTATTACTCCCGCATAGTACCATTTTCCTTTTTTTTTTTTTTTTTTTTTTTTTTTTTTTTTTTTTTTTTTTTTTTTTTTTTTTTTTTTTTTTTTTTTTTTTTTTTTTCTTTTTTTTTTTTTTGTATTTTTCTTTTTTATATTATTTTTTTTTTCCTCTCTCTCCCCTCTTTTCCCTCTTTTCTTTTCTTTTGTCTATCTTCATCTCCTTTTTCTTTTTTTACAATACATTCTCTTTTTTGTTTAATGTAGGCTATTTTTTATTGTTTTTTTTTATTATGTT